TCGGGTGTCGATGTAACCCAATCCTGAAGCAACATTTTGCATTTCGAGGGAGAGAATCTCATCCCGAACATGCTTGCATTGTTGCTTAGAGTGGTCAGAAGACTCTGCATTTTGTCAGCGTCTTCACCAAATAAAACTATGTCATCAGCATATTCTAAGTCAACAAGTGAACCTCCCGGTAGAAGTTCAACCCCTGGAAATTTAGATGAGGAGAGTGTTATCTCTAAAAGTACGTCGACCACAAAGTTGAACAAGAATGGGGAGAGTGGACAGCCCTGACGAACACCACTTGAGGTAATCAATTCTGATGACAGTTCACCATAAGCTCTCACTCGACCAGTTGTGTTCGAGTAGAGAGCCTTTATAAGGTTAATGTACTTCTTTGGTACTCCTTTCAGTGACAAACACTGCCATAGAACCTCACGATCAACAGAGTCGAATGCCGCCTTAAGGTCGAGAAATACTACCATTGTGGGGCGTCTGAATGTGTGTCTGTGTTCTAGAACCTGACGTAGTGTGAATATCTGATCTATACAACCACGTCCAGGTCGAAAACCAGCCTGATTTTCTCTAGTCTGCTCTTCACGAGCTTTGATTAGGCGTCGAAGTATTATTGAAGCTAATATTTTAGACACTATATTAGTCAAACTGATTCCTCTGTGATTGTCACAAGAGGACTTTTGTCCTTTCTTATAGACTGGCACAATCAGTGATTGAGACCAGTCAGATGGGATTACGTCCAGTTCCCAAATTCTACTTAAGACCTCGGTTAATCTCATTGCTAATACTGGACCACCATCCTTAAAAATCTCAGGAGTAAACCTGTCAGGGCCTGCTGCTTTCCCTCGTTTCAGATTTCCTATGGCTTTTTCAACTTCGTAAAAAGTCGGAGGACCTACATTAACTTGCCATTCAGGTTGACTAGAGATCGTGGGAAACCGAAGTGTGGCTGAAGGCCAGTTGAACTGATCCCTAAAGTGTTCTGCCCATCGATCCAATCTCCTGGATTGAGAATGAATAATATGTCCATCTTTCTCTGAGATTGTTTCGCTAACGGTCGGGTTCCTAATTCCGGTTTCCTTAACGAGTCTGAACAATTGTCTGCTATTACCTATTGCCGCTGCCTTTTCCATCTGTCTTGCTTTCGCTACCCACCACTGTTCGCGATCGTTGCGTAGGCTTCTGGTCAGCTTGCGCTTAAGCTGACTCCGCTCTTCATTATGTTCAGAGCCAGGTGGAATGAGTTTCCGAGCATCTATCAGTGAGATAGATGCTGCTGAGATCCAGTGTTGCTCCCTAACCTTCTGGTTTACCTTACTAGCAGATATCACTGCTGTTTCCACAGCTTTTCGGATATCATTCCATGCTGCATCGGGGTGGGCATCACATACATGGCTGCCTAACTGTTTTCCTAGTTGTTCCTGAAATATACTCTTAGCTTGACTATCATTAAGTAGGCCCCTAAGAGGTTTTCTTGCAGTGTCTTTCCTACGTCCAGTTAGACGCAAGCAAATACGCGCTCGCACTAGAGCATGATCTGAATCTAGGCATGTGCTCCAGAATGAGCGACAGTCTTCTATCGAGCCCCTCCATCGGTGGCTGATAGCGATGTGATCTATTTGGGTCCAACGTTGGGACGAATTAGGGGGTCTCCATGTTAAAAGATGTTTTTCCTTATGTTTAAAGTTAGTATTTGCAAGGAACAGGCGGTTATCTGAGCATAGCTGCAACAGACGGTCGCCATTATCTGTTCTTTGAGCCACGACACCGTAAGATCCACCCAGGTGTCTCTCCCTATCGCTTAGTTTACCTACTTGAGCATTAAAGTCACCGGCCACAATTACTACATCCGAGCGCTTAGCTTTTCGGAGAAGGTCCGAAAGCTTTCTGTAAAACTCATCTTTTACATCATCTGAGCTGCAGTCAGTGGGAGAATAGGCAGAGACGACGAAGAGGCAACGACGAGTGTCCCTATCTTTCCGGATTCTTACTGTTCCGTTCAGTCGGATAGCGCACAAGCGGCTGTCTACTGGGATCCACTCTAAGAGAGCTAGTTCTGCCCTAGGACTCAATGCTATACCTACGCCGGCAAGGCCGCGGGAAGCAGAATCAGGGCTCCCAGATACACGAAGCGTAAATCGAGTCGGTTCTTTATTTTGGCATGGTGAGGTCAAATGAATGACGCTACTTGGATCCTGTATGCGCGTTTCGGAGACGCAGCACACATCGATGGCGCGAGATTCTAAAGTCCTAGCTAATGAAGCCTGCTGTCCTATTTGGCAAAGTGTTCGTACGTTAAAAGCTCCTACGTGTAGTTTAGAGCGTGGTTTCAGGAGACCAGGAATAGCGTTCCACGTACTCGAATCGTTTGCCCTAGCGGTGCGAGGTGATAAAGAGACGTGGGGAGGGTTAGTCGGGGAGATAAGAGAGGTATTAGAAGGTGTAGGAAAGATTTGAATGTGACCACCTTGGTCTCTTGTGCTGTCACGGGTATGAGGGCTGATATCACTTCCCGGCTGCCCACACCGTGGAAGGGTATTTCTTGAGGAACCTGAAAAGGAAATTGGATTAGTGTTGGTCTTGACGACCTGGGAGCGTGACCGCAGAGCCCAAGGGACAACTGCTTGAGGCCGGTCGCGCACGGCCTTTTTGTGGAAGATTTTTGACGTGTTAGCTCCGTTCTTCAAAGGGCCTTACCGCCGGAGACGGAAATCCGTGAGGTAAGGTGAGGTGTGACATTTTTAGGGTCGACCTTTTCTAACCCCACCCCTCCTTGTGGGAAGGCAGCATCGCTGCAATGCTGGTTGTCCGAGGGAAACACCTTACTGCTGTCACACCCCTCTACAGTCAGCAGTACGACTTCGCCCTCAGACCTTGAGTTGCTGCTTTTAGTCTTACCGTTCACCAATCGACCTGCCTGGCATGGTAGAACCTGCAGGAACATATGTTCCAGCCAATATAGCTCGGTTGGGTCATCACGATAGGCAAGCCCGACCACCGCGTCAAGGTAGCAGCTTCGATCGGGCTGTATTCAAGCTGTCAAATCTATTCTGTTTTCCTTGAAATATGGAGGTCTTCAAGACCCAACCATAAGATTAAAGGGCGAAAGTATGCAACTTTGCATGATGCCGGTCTTCATGCATGACTTTACAGTGTAGTCCTCAGGTATTCCATAGTGTCGAAAAAGGTCCCATAAGGTTTCCATAATCACGCTGTCAAATGCTTTCTCATAGTCAAGGAAGTTGATGTTAAGTGACGAGATGTATTCAGCCGTTTGTTCAATAATGATTGGCAGTATTACGGATTGCTTGGAAAATATTCTATCTTTTCAAAGTTTTTGGTCTTCAAGTTGAAAGTCTACTTATTCTTTCAATCGGTTCAACGACAATTGAGTACTTTACTGGTACTGACAATGATATATAATTTCTATGGTTCTCGCGCTTACCTCATCGCTTTATATTTTCTATATTTATTTTCAAGTGGTCTGAAACTTATGTAAACTCTTTACATCTATAATTGTCGTACGATCCATTTTATCTGTTTCCGGACTCCATATTATAACTACGTCAACCTCCTATGTCTCCTTAATTCCGTTTCCAAATAACCTCACACCTGTTTATTCACAGACATAGTTATGATTGCTAACTTTTATCATTCTAATTTCCTCCGTCATCAATGTCGATAATGTTGAGGTGATCTAGAAAACTTCTCTCACAAGACAAGAAAGGCTCAGGAAACACTAAGAAGCATTTTGTCCAATCAGCGTTCACTTGAAGTTTAGCCAGAAACATCAAGAAAGCGAAAAGTAACATGTAGAGTTTCTGATTAGCTGATTACTATATTTCTCCTATGTTCAGTAGCATTCCAGAATTTTCGGGAAACCCAGGGACGTCTAAAATATATTATAAAAACCCTTTATTTTATGTACTAGAACGAACCTTTGGAGTAAAGTGCTTCTCGCATATTTTGCACCTTTTCTCTCGTGTTCAGGTCACTGTGTAGTTCTAGCTTGGAGGCCACGAGAATAGCTTAGGGACCGAATATAGCGTTCAATTAGCAAGACTTATCAGATAACTTCTTATCATTGCATTTCTCAATGTCACCTTTTGATAGAAATAAAGTTATAAGCAGATAATGAGAAACCACGTAATGTAATGACTTCATATTATTCTACCTAAATTGTCATTCTGGCTTTATCCAAACACATGTGTTGCTATTATCTTACATAGAATATATCAAATATACTAGTTATTCGTCTATCCCTCAACAATAACAGTAGTATAAATCAATTCACTACTCATATACTTTAAATTTTTCTAAATATATTTATTATTATTCCATACAATATAACCTTTCATTTCTTATTACCATATTCGTTATTCTTTCTAGTTCTCTAATAATATTGGTATCGGTAATGTCATTCCCTCAATCTCTGTGTTATTCTAATTTAAAATGAGGCAGCATAACTATACTAAGTCGATCATTCCTTTTTGGTATGTTGTGCAATGTACACACGTTTGGAAATGTTTAATCGGTAGAGATTGAAACCTGTAGCATACTGGGTTTTCTTTTAAATGACTCATTTAGTTCAACAGTTTACAGAAAATAATTAACACTGACGAAAAAGAAAGATGGACCATTTTAAAATTGATAGATAAACTGCTGCTTACAGCTCATGTAATATCTGTTCAAACTGGATGGTTTTTTAATTCTTAATTTTATTTTACATGTTTTTATACTAAATCAGATATCTTCGTCAGTGAATTTTTGAATAGGAGTAACTCTGAAATGATGATGCTATCCAGCTTGATGCTGGAATGTCTACTGTACAAAGCCTAAAATGAACAAATAACTCAATTTGAACACATTGATTTATATTGACTTCCTATTCTCATCGCTTAACTAAACCATTTCTGAACCATCAGAAATATTATGGAGATAAACTAACTTGTTTTATATTTCTTTGATACTTCTGTTGTTTCATATAACATTTATTTCAGTATGCAGCATTTCTTCTAGTCATATTTTTGGCGCTGCTTGTGTTCACTATTGTATTTGGAACACGTAAACACTGGGTGGGTTGATTCTTTTTATAATGAATTATACTAAATAAAATAGTAAACTCCTATGATTGCATGCTTTAGTATTATTTGGTTTTGTTAAACTAGTTATTTTTTTTCGAAGACAGGAAAGTCTAATATTTTAATTATGACAATAGACGTATTTGGAAAGAAACACTGAAAAAGCCTAATTCTTAACATGTAATAGTACTTTACTCACCCAATAACCAGCTTCGAGCAATTGCAAGTACCGCGTATTTGTTTAACCTAATATACGGTTACATAAAAATCGTTAAAACTAAAAATCGTTTATAGGTATCATTACCAAGGTTTGATTTGATAATTTCGAATAAATTGAGCATTGGGTAGATTGTTTAAATAGTTTAAATAGTACTGTTTAAACTTGGATTTATTCTCGGAAGAAGTGACTTGCAATAAGTCACGAAACGTCAGAAAATCTCATTTTTCTACTCACTGGGATATTACAAATATATTATTTATTTATAACAATCGTTTAGGTTGATTATGTTTTAGTATTCTTTATTTTTAACTTCCAAGCAAATATTACGAAGGAGGAAATTAATCAATAAAGATTATGACTGTATACCATTTATGTCTATTAGATTTCTATGATTAATTACTCACAACACATTTCATGCATCTACACTGTAAAGATCATTATGAAACAAATTGTCAAGTTTCTTAAATTATTCACTAAGCACATGTAATTGATTAAGTGGTTGTATTAACAGGCATCTTTTTGAAATACAAGAGAAAAACAGTTATTCAGATTTACTCCAGTTGTAAATTCCAAGTGTACCAGAATTGCCATTAGGAAATTTCGAAGAAAGGAGCTACCACCAAAGGATGCAAGAATGCGAAACACTCAGTCCGTTGTCGTTCATAAGGAATATCTAGACGATAATGATCTATGGTACATGCAATGTTTGCTCATTTTTCAAATGTGATTTTTTGTGAGCTTCTGTCATTAGTCAATGTAAAAAATGAGAACCTCACTGGTACTATAGCTTTTAAATTATTAGACCTGGTAATTTATCAGTTTCAGGCTCAATTTATCCCTATCCCTATAATGCATTTCATTAGTAATACACAAACTGTACCATTGATCACTTCGTCAGAGTTTTCTTGTCGTTTGTTGACAAAGTTAGCGAGTTCATTGTCAAGTCAACAACTTTCTTACTATTGCAAATACTTCGGTTATTTGCCATTTAAAGCTTTCCTTTGTTTCCGTTCTTATGGATTTTAATGGTGTGATCAAAGATGGTCACAATACTGGAAATAAATCATGGTTTCAAACCTATAAGGTCTATAGGCAAACTTAAGAAAGTCACATTGATTTATCTATTCCTTCACACTTAGTTTAATTCCTAATGCATCTAGCATTTCGGTGAAAAAGTTACGTAACTGGTACACAATAAATATCATGGTTTCTGATAATTTAAAGGGCAAATTTCTCTGTATAGAGCAATGTATATAAGATTTGTTATTAATAACGTGTAATAAATCTCATCAACTTAGTAAGTGCAGTTAAACAAAAAGAAGAGGAGTGTTTTTATTTAGAAATTCTGAATTTAATTGTATAATATTATATAAGTAGTACTACACAGAAGTAACTAATTTGGCTTTTAAAACCACAGACAGTACTGAACAATCAGGACTACTTTACAAGAAAATGTGTTTATTGGTTGAAATCACCCCATAATCATATTGAATGACAATACCCGGAATTACATTACTTATTCCTATGTATCCCATCTTCAAGTAAGTAATTGGGAGCATTTGGATCATTGGGAGGTGTGTTCATTCAAGAACCAGCATTATTTGAATAACAATTTCTCAATACTAACTAGCTTTAGGATGAATATCATTCAGATCTAACAAAATTATGATACTTGAAGTCAGCCTGATCGGAACTGAAACGAAATGGCTCTGACAACATAGGGTGATGACAGTTTACCAAAAAACAGAAAATGAGGACCATTGAGTTTCAACTCAGTAGATGAATAATATGTTCCGAATAACATTTAAAGGTCCTTGGTATGATCTTGTACAGATCGCGAATATGCCCTTATATTAAATCTCACTTTATTGACTATTATTAGTTCTCCAAATATTCCTAAATGTAAAACTCTCAAATTTCGTTTTCATTACGTTAGCCAATCCAAACATCTCACTTACTCATGTTAGACATATTGTTTAAACGTCCATAATAAAATAACCTATGAATAATTCCCATTTATTTCGGTTGTTGTAGTTTATCTCTTGTTTATTACATGTCATATTTCATTGAGTTTATTTATATTATGTATTTAAATTCCAGTTCCGTGATGAGCTGGGTATAAGTTATAGAAGATCAATTACTAGTGATTATCATATGGACAATAATTTTCCACCAAACACCGGTTTTACTGTATTTGTTAATGAAATTCAACGAAAGGTAAGATCCATGGCTTTGATTTTAGACATTTATATGCGTTATTTCCACTGCTTATGTGTATGGAAATAAAAAATAAGTATCCTATTTAGATTTACTGTTGACTAAGTTCATTAAACTAACAGCCTTATAAATGTATGTTTGCTTACTGAACAAGAAATAGGAAAATCGCATTTAGAGTTTTCGATCAACTTTCTATGTTATGTTCTACATGCTGAGAAAGCTGGACGATAGATAAAATGTCTCAAAACTTGCACAAATACACTTTTCACTAATTCTTTTGTTCCGATGAATACAAGTCATCTATTAACAGCTAATTTTAATACTAAGACTTAACGTAACGACACACTAAAATCAAGTTCACTTCATAAAATACAAAATTATGAATACAGAACAATTCACTTCCGACTTAATTATGTCTTATTAATTGAAATAAAGGCTATTGTTTCTAACATAAAGATACGATAAAAATTTAAATGATCGGAAATTACATATTGAATAGTCCATGGAGAATCACTGATGAAAATAAAGGTTATGTATCAATAAGTAAGCTGTTATAACTTAGATTAAAGAAAGGGTACTTGAACATTGAAGTAATTAAAGTTATAAGAAATTATAAGTAAGCGGTATTTGTTTTTACATTTTTTTAAAAGGAAAAAGAGATTATAGACTCAGCAATTTATCACCATTTTCTAAAAGTAGGGTGACAGATACATGTAAATAATTATTAAGTGGTAAAACGGTTGACTTATGGTCCTAGTTATATCGATTAAGTAATCAGTAACATTATATATATAATTCATATATAGTGATGCAAATATCAAACCATAAATAGCTGAGTAAAAAGCTTATTACTTTTTATATTTCCTAATTAAGTGATTTTTTATCGAGTAATGTGTGCAAGCTTAACTATAACAGTTGTTTGATGAAATAAATCCTTATTTATGGGATTTTTCTGTATCCACGTACTTTTTCAAGTGTTCACTGAATACTGTCAACTAGGCATACTTGAATCACAGGTGAGAGTAGGTCACATACACTGTTATTTGTGCAGTTGTTCAGCAAAACCACTAATTTTGACAATTTTAAAGAAAACGAGTGTACTTAGTCAAATTGAAATAAAACTTAAGTTTCTAGAAACTCACATAAGTGTGTGTTGGTTACTAAAGCAATGTCAGCTATGAAGTTATGACTGGTATGATTGAAGTGTAAGTTTCCACAAGGATATTTTAGAAATCAGCAGATATCCCATAGATGATATTCAGCTAAATTTCAGAAAATATTTTTATCATCATTATTTAGCTGATTAATTAAACACTTATCTATTTTTATTCAAATCAAGCATAAATGCTGTGGTTCTTTTGACTATCGTGACTTCCAAGATAATGAATCATTCAAACGACAAAATTGTAAGTGCGATTCCTTGTTCTAATCATTCAAAGATTTACTGGAAAGTAACGTTTTTATATGTTCATATTTGTAGATTATTTGAAATATGACTTATTATTTCCCTTCTTTAATTAAATCATACGAAGACCGTTTTATATTACCGAGAACAGTGTCAGATTGATTTATCTATAAATATTTATATTTCGTTGGATTTTGCTGCGTCATTAATATCCCTTGTAGGACCACATGATACATTCAGTATAAAGTGGAACTAAACAATTGATCCATATTGTCTTCAATCCTGTTCAGAACTGAAAGTATTTTAATGAGTCTTCTCTTGTTATATCTAGATGGTTGTTTCCTTGATATACCGCGTATAACTTGAGGACTAGAACGCCAGAACTCTTCCAAGTCTCAATGAGAAGACAGAAGACTAGTAAAAGAAATATTGTTCCAGACAGTGTCAATTATAGTACAAAATTGTCAGGTATTTATAGTTTTTAGTAAGAACGAAATCATCGTTACGGTCCTCCAATCCATATACAGGAAGCTATTAGCATTGTCCAATCGGGAAGCTACACACAGGGATTCTAGAACATTCTTCCGAAAGGTGATTGGATGGATATCTTCGGCTCCTTCTGAGCTTCTTACAGCTTTCTCGAGTTCACCCGTGGTCCGTCCTCACATCTCTGCAATCTGATACATTTTTGGATCAGAAATTACGTTCATGCTCTTATAATATAAGGTCCTCATCGATAATGTATGTAGGTGGTTTTAAATATAGATCTAACAACTAATTCAAAGAATACTGTTAAAAATGCTCTATCTAATATTAATCTGATTGTAAACCCAAACTGTAGCAAAGCGTAATATGAGTCGGTAGTCTTTCTTCATCTAACGACATTGAATTTTATCTATTTGAATAATTTTAGGGTGTTATACGTGAAGTTTATCACGAAATGTAACTTTAATTAAGGCTGTCTTCACCAAGTGGAGTAATTTGAAATTAATCTTAAGGGTAACTTTAAGAAAGTGATACCACAGAGATGCCCAGAAAACTGTAATTTATATTTTATGTCATTTTGAAGGTTTTATGTTTTTTGAGTTAAATAGTTGTGAAGCTTTCGTTGTCTTTCTAAACAAAATCATCAACACATATCTTTGAAATAATTGAAATACCTCTAATAACTGAATCAACTTTATACATGGTAAGTTATTAAATATGATGAGGAAACAATCATGTGGTCTGTTTCTTTTTTATGTATTTTCTAACATAGAATCAGTATTCTAAAATACTGTTAAATTATAAAGAAATAAACTACTTTACAACTAGAAATAGTTAAGTTGAAATTAATCTTAACTTAATGAACTTTGAACAGATTCATTCGGATAACTGATGGATTATCAAAATGTACATTTAAGACTATTCGGAATTCGAAGAGTGCTCTGAGTAGTCTAATACTTTACGAATGAATGTATGCTTGAGGAATACAAATGATTGAGTAGCATTAATAAAAAGAGATTCAAAAAATTGTTAACACACATATTACTGAGGAGCTTACTAGTCGGTAGTAAAATCAAGTATTAATATCGAACTTTATCAATCAATCAATCAATCAATCAATCAATCAATCAATCAATCAATCAATCAATCAATCAATCAATCAATCAATCAATCAATCAATCAATCAATCAATCAATCAATCAATCAATCAATCAATTAATTAATTAATTAATTAAATTACTTAAACTCTATTTTTTTTAGATAAGATTCCAGCCTCTTGTTGTAAAGATATAAAAGACAAAGAATGCTGGGAACGTCCAACAACACAGAATAGTTATAAAGACACTGTGAGTTTTAATCTTTACCTTTTCACATAAAAGAAAATTGATAAGCACTAATATTTTTCAAAAAGGCCACTTTTTATCCTAGAACTGCATTGTGTATATAACATGACCACCATAGATACACATATCTTGGCACCAACCCTTAACGTAGCAAGATAAAATAAAAAATAATAAGTGTTTATTAGATGTTAAGCTAATTGACTTAATATAACAGGAAATTAGCTCCACAGCTGTTGTTGTATATCGGAGATACTGAAAAGAACATTCGAAGGAATCATGTGTTTTCACTAATGAACTGTTTTTTTACAATGAATATCGTGAAAACCAATATCTATCTAATAATGATATGTTAGTTCATACTTCACGACTATTGGTCTATGAATGTGATAATAAAGAATGATATCTGATAATAAATGAGGGATAAAAATAACTTTGAGACATTTAGTAACTTCCAGAATAACTGCTAAGAACACTAATTGGTTTTGAAAGTGCTAAACGTCAACAATAATACCATATTTACAGCGAGATATAAACATGTTTTCTCTACTTAATTGAACTATCAAACGAAAAAGATCTCATGGGTATAACAGTTGGTAAACTCAAGTATTTGGTTTATATAGATAATGCCTGTTGGTGAATCCTTAACTGATGAAACGAATTTTGTCAACAGCACAGGTCGTTAGATCAAATATTGACCTGAAAAATGCTATTAATGATCAAATGTAAATTTGTTTAGAATACAATTCTTTATATTCATTCAAGCCTCTTCCTCATATTATTATCAATGATTATGCTTTATTTTTCAACTAAAGTTAAGGAGTTCGATTATCTATATTCCAGTATGTAACTACCCTGCCATTATTATTGTCTGGAAAATGTTAGACAAATATCTCGCAGTTCTATTCGATAAAATCAGAACACTGGTTATAGTATCTATTTAAACATTGTTCACTAAGATAGCATCTTAGTTTTCAATAACTAAATATGAGAATTTATAGGCTTTAAATTATATAACGGTTAAGCAGAATACTCTAATAAACATCCGAGAATACGCTTGTTGTAAACTTTTTTACGGGTGGTACTTGGCATGTCATATTCTGTTTCATCCTTCAGTATTACCATTATCCTTGGCTTTAAAACATACCGGATAACTGAAGTGAAGTTTTATTGCCACGCTTAAGTTACGGACTTTACATAAGAAAAGACTACATTCGTTACTTGTAAGTGGAAGAATAGTTTGAAAACCACCGCAAGAGAATGAAATCAATGATTCTGCTTATATGGAGGTCCAAAAGTTATGCTAAGTAAGATATGTTAATTTTATCTGTATGGCTATGGTAAATAACAACTATTTTTTACCACTAATTACTGGCCTTCTTTGAGATTTATGTTCCAAGTTGAAACTCGGTGGTAATGAATTCAATCCCGAGGAGGATAAATAAAATGGATCATAGAGAAGTACTAAATCAGGTCAAACTCGACTTTCAGTTCTGTCTGATTTTAAAAGATATTATACTCATCATGAGTCAGCGTTTAAACTTAGCTTCAAGATTACTAGATGCTTTTAAACAAATCACAAACTTTCTACAAAGCCCTGTAGTGTCCTACTAATTTTTGTTATTTTCAAGAGTGGAATTATCCAGGTATACAGAGTAAAGTAATATCAGGAACGGTTTGGATTACACCTGTTTGGTCTAACACTATCAAAATTATGAACAATTGGACTATTTGTATAAGACTTAACTTTTGATAGATCTATAGAACAGTGCTGCAGTTAACGCAACGAATTTAAGTAAAATAGATCTGATTTAATACGAGTTAGGAGCTAAACATTGTAGGAGATATACCTCACCATTGATTAATAGAATCCAAAAGTATCAACGTTTTACGAGAGAAAATCAGAAGTAGTTTGTAAAGTCCAACCCAAATGCCATTAGTCCGGAAGTATAGATTGTCATACTTTACCCTTCTGATTACAAAAAAACAGAAAGTACAGCTGAAATTACATTTGATTCATACCAATCATTGGTTCAAATTTGAAATGTGGACTGAACATTCGGTCACTAATTTGCTCTTTAAAGATATTGTGTTTGTCACGAAGCCTGGAACCCACGTCCTCTACTCCATGCAGGAGCGCTGGACAGGCTTGACACATGTATCCAGTGTTGTCAAGTCTGTACTGGTTTTTCAGGTTATATCACTTCGTGACAAAAACTATATACAGTCACTGAACATAAGACAGAAGTCGGCAAAGTTGTTATTGTAATGTTTAAGTATATTTTATTCTTAGTCGTCAAAAGGTGCTTATTTCGCCTCATGTCACTCTTCAGTGTCATGTGGTCTAATTATTTTAAGCATTTTATTTTCAGTCACTTGTTTATACATTCAAAAGTTCTTTCATCTATATTGATTTATACACTCAGTTATGATTCACATTTGTTATAAACGGAAATATAGTTCAAGCGAGTGGGCAAAAGAACTTATATTTGGATCATTTTACAATTTAATATAATTTTCTCATTCACTCCTTTCATTTTCTATTTTTGTTCACCCTTTTCAGGGTTGTTTCGAGTTTCTATGGTCAGCGGCACAACCAAGCTATCGAATTATTCTTTATATCTTGATTGGTCTGTTATTACTTACGGTTAGTTAATTAACTTATTTTTTAATTCAGCATCTAATTCATAGGAACTATATACAACATGGTGCCTTCATTAATTTAACCAAGGCCAAAACACTACGAATAATGAAACAAATCCATTCTATTTCAAGGCTTCTAATCAGTTGCAAACAGCTTGAAGTTACAAAGAACAATGTAATTAGAAACAACGGTATGATCCATTTTAGTTGGTCAACTTCATACTGATATCTGAAACGAATCTGCAAGTCACAAAGATCAACATTGAATACAAGATTCAGTACTGCAGTAAATTAAAAGTATCACATAATATACGTCAAAAATAAGATAAACAACTGGCAATGTAAATTGGAGTTAATTACCTATAATTATTGTCTAGTCTTTGATAATATTTTATCATAATTATCGGTAGTTAACTCCAATTTACATTGCCAGTTGTTTATCTTATTTTTGACGTATATTATGTGATACTTTTAATTTACTGCAGTACTGAATCTTGTATTCAATGTTGATCTTTGTGACTTGCAGATTCGTTTCAGATATCAGTATGAAGTTGACCAACTAAAATGGATCATACCGTTGTTTCTAATTACATTGTTCTTTGTAACTTCAAGCTGTTTGCAACTGATTAGAAGCCTTGAAATAGAATGGATTTGTTTCATTATTCGTAGTAATTAGTTGAATAAAAAGTTTAGTATATTGCTTGTTTAACATTATCAAAGTATTCCATAACTGACAGTATCACCGAGTACGTTTTCTGTAATTATGCCAAACAATAAATCCCACACTTGAATCCAAAATAACCGGAGAAATAAATGTAACTGGACTACTCAAAACTGAGGAGTGATTAAAATCATGAATCGACCAATGTTAGACCACTATTAAAAACCTGGAAGCACTGGAAGGCCGTTTCGTCCTAGTATGAGACTCTTCGGTATTGTATATCCACGATCCAACACTCAGAATGGTCACTCAGTACTGTGGATTGATTGACGTTAGACATTGACACCGTTGGATGCGGGATCAGTGGTCTAGAGGTTAAACGTTCGCGCGCGAGGAATCCCATGCCGTGACGAAATAGCCATCCAGTGCTTCCAGGTTTTAAATGGTTGTCTAAAATTGATTGATTCATGAACTCAATAAAAACTCAACAATCTCTACATCCTTATACTGATAAGAAGTGACTGTTAAATTAATTATTCACGTGTTAACTCGTATTTTGAGTCCTTTCAGTTCTAGATGTTATAACGGGGAAAATAATACGTGACTAACCGTTTGATCTGGTTGTAGCCAGGTGACTTACTGATGCAATGAGCCACTGAAAAGATATTAAGAAACAGAACAGAAAATAAGTTGGTTCATGTGATAAAACTGCGTGCCTGTGTACAAACATTTTTTTTACCAAATCAATATGATTAAGATTGATTTAAAAAGTAAATAACTGCATGATTCCTACTTCATAGGTCATTAATTTATGAAATTAAGCACTGATTAACAGGTTTGCTTAATTGCCACCACAGCATTGTTATGATGAATCAACAGGGAGAATAAGTTGCTACATCGCCGAAGAAATAGTTGAGATTTAAGTCAAGGCAGTAGAGTACAGTCCTGATTACTTTTGGAGCTGTTAATGGAAGTAAAAATGGTCTACAGTAAGATTAAAGGTATTAGTCAATGTTTCCTAGAAATTAATGGTTTGACTAGAAAAAATCATTTTCTAAAATGATGTTGTTCAAGATCTCCAGGATTTTGCTCCAAATTAGAATGATGACTTCATTTTTTTCACTAGTTTAAAAGACAAGATCAATTTATAGCTACCAAAGCTGTACGTTTATTATTTATTTGTGATGATCTGTTATAAAATATGGTGAACAAACGTCTCTTGACAGAAGTCAGTCAAACTATAATAGGATAATTAGATTTCAGCTTATAGATAGCTATTTTAACTGATAAATTAATGGATGAATTAATTAAAATCGAAACCTATCGAGCAGTCTAACCTACAAAAAGCAACATATGACGAACATAAAACACCACCACACAAATAACTATAAATTCATTTTTCATTTATCAACCGTCTTACTTGATGATTGCTATATTTTCTTTTTGTTTCCTTTCATTCCATAGTTTACATTCG